TGGAAGTAGAAGGAAACTCTCCCATATATCAACCCATCCTCATGAAATGATATATAGTACTTATAATGACTATTTGCTCGAGAGTAGCAATGTGTAGTGATGAACCGCTAGTAAACCACTTTGTGTACTATTCATTTGATAAAGAACGGAAAAAAGCTAAAACAAATCAAATTTGACTATTCCTAGGCTTAGTAAAGCACATATATGCCCTCTATTAGGCCTAAGATAGGGGGTATTAAGCCTAGGCTTGCTCGAAGAGGGTTAGGTTAGGACCTAAATTTACGCTGCCGGTCAAAACAACTTTCTGATTGGTCCAAATTCATGAATACGTCTGGAGTAGTCAACTTCCTAGTGGTCCATCACTACATATTCCCTCCGCTCAGGTATTCTAAAGTACTTTTATTCCAGGAGGATGGACTGGGCTAGTCACATCTGGGACAAGTGGGAGGGAAGATTCTTCCTCACCCAGATGATCGTTCACAGCCAGATATCCAGCAAAAGATAGTGTTATCATAATGCACACACGTGTAGGCACGGCGTACAGTCCGCTTGCTATCATAACACCGTATTAGTAAGGCGGACAGCCCACCTGCTATCATAACGCCGTGTCAGAAAGACGGACAGCCCGCCTGCTATCATAACGCCGTGTCAGAAAGACGGACAGCCCACCTGCTATCATAACGCCGTGTCAGAAAGACGGACAGCCCGCCTGCTATCATAACGCCGTGTCAGAAAGACGGACAGCCCGCCTGCTATCATAACGCCGTGTCAGAAAGACGGACAGCCCACCTGCTATCATAACGCCGTGTCAGAAAGACGGACAGCCCGCCTGCTATCATAAATATATACTCCATATTCCTCAAACATTTCCTTCACCAGTACCTCTCCTTCAATTTCACCTCCCTCCTTCCTCCCTCCCCTTCAAGGATCAGCCGGAGATAATCAGGTAATTAAGATTACCAGGGTAATTAAGGGATTAAGACAAGAGCTTTGAAGACGAAACGAAAGAGAAGAAATATATATTGAGTAGAAAAATAATTATTAAGATGAATAATGTGGACTATACGAAAAGAGTAGATGGAGAAGGTTGCATAAAAAATGCTGTCAAGAACGAGAGGAAAAACTACATTCACATGAAAAAAATGAAGCCTAATAACCTGAGAGTGAAATCTTAAGTCAAGGCCAGACCTTGTTTGGGAGTAGGCCTATGCAATCACATTCTAAAAACATCACCCAATTTTTTTTTTAGCCCGATCCGTATATATATATGCAAAACATTACACAATTACAGAAAATCAGTTGGAGTTGTAGAAGACAATATATATAGGACAATGTTGACCAGACCACACTCTAGATGGTGAAGGGACGACGACGTTTCGACTCGTTTCGATTGACGTTTCGACTCGTTTCGACGACAATCGACTTGAGAATGGTCCAGGACGGACCGAAACGTCGTCGTCCCTTCACTTTCTAGTGTGTGGTCTGGTCAACATTCTTCAGCCACGTTATTGTGACTCATCGCCTATATATAGGACAAGAGCCAGCCTACAAGGCTCCCTCGATATGCCATATATTCTCTTCACTAGAAGCCAAGGGTCCTTCCTCACTATTACAACCAAAGGTGTCGTCACGCCCTGGGGACGACAACAGAGTGGTTAGACCACAGCCCTTCCCACAGGGGACGCCAGAGAGTGTCTTAGAGTGGCAAAAAAGATTACTCTCTACTGCTCTGTTGAAATCTCCGGCAGGATCCCGAGCGGGCGGCGGCTTGGGGTCCACCATAACCCAGCTTACAGACTTCAGTGTAAATATTCACCTAGTTATGACACATCAACATTGCCATCTGTTCAAGGAACTGTATCGGGATAATTATGTTGTAGGATTAAAATGGATATAGAAAGGTTAAGATGGATATATATATCTGATTATATATATATATATATATATATCATAAATAAATATATGCTATTATAATTTGGTAATACCGATACTTCATTGGTACTTCAGCACCACTTAAATATACATATAACAGCCTCATCAATATACATATGCCAGTCCCGTATTTAATCGAAAAAGTCGCCAATGAAAATGTATCTAAGTTCGCAAAAAAATCGTAGATAACACACATCAAGCGATCCTCCTGTTTTATTGTACTTTTTGTATCAATGTGAAACTACGTACATATATATTGGCGTCATGGACAATTAGATAGTCAAAATTGGTACTATTCACTTTACAAGAGTCCGGAAACCAATAAGGCTAGACACCAAACTTAAATATTCCTAGGGCTTTTATAGTACATATATAAACTATATAGGGCCTCAGATTGCGTGTAATAGGCCAAGGGTGGTTAGGGTAGGTTTTATTAGAAAGCATAAATACAAAACGTTTTCCGGTTTGTCCAAATGCAATGCCGCTCGCGAAACACCAGACGAGTATATTACTACTCCGCCACGGGGACTACTTTAAGTCCCTGTGGACTTAACCTTTCAATTAGACAACCAATGGCAAGAAAACCGGGTTCTAAGAGCTAGAGCTCGACCCTGCCGGCACAAATAGGCGAGTACAAGTAGGTGAGTACGTACACCAGCCACATCAAACTATAACCACATCAAACCCACAACCATGTCAAACCTACAACCATATCAAACTACAACCACATCAAACCCACAACCATGTCAAACTATAACCACAATTCCCCCACCCACAAAATTTATCTATAAGAGGATCAACTTGCATCACGTAACCTTACCTCGTCCTCGGAGTCTATCTCGTCTCCCTCGAAGGTGGTGTACGCCAGGCCCGAGACGTCGTTCGAGGCTGCCGAAGAAGAAGAAGGCGACCCAACGCGGATGAAGAGCGTCCCCCCTACCAGGTCTCCGACACCCATACACTCCCCCGTGTCCTGCGTGTACCCAGACATGGCGTCTGGCTTCACTACACCACTCACTCGCGCTTAAATCACTACAAAACCACCACTTAAATCACTCATCTTTGTTGTAGACACTTTGCAACTAAATGATTCATGTAACGCCAGCTTATAATTCCTGCCTGTGACGTTCCGGTGAAGACACTATTCCACTGATGGGGTAAAGGCCTTTTTATTTCGGCGTTGTTGGACCGCGCGGGGAGAGAGGTGGGTGGACGGGACGCAGCGCCACACACACAGACACAGAAGCACCACCACCATGGACGAGTTCCCTCGCCATACTGAGGCTTGTTTATGCGCGCGACCCGCTCTACGCCTTCTACCTGTCCTCAGGCTAGGCTGGCCCGTCCGAATCCTCACCTCTAAGATTCATTCGCCAATACTGACCCGCTGCGCCTTCGTAATTGATATTTTCTCATATATAAGGTTAATATTATTTCACACTAGAATGTGCTGAATAGTGTGGCTTAACCTTGGCTCTGTTGGGTATTATGGTTTTTGTGGAGGAACGTGGAGGAAGCATTTTTAGAGGTGGGATTCGAGCAGCGGGCGTGAACGAGGCGTTGCTCGAGAAATGTTCCAGTGTTCCAAGGTTGTGCGTCGCGTATGTGAAGCGTTTTTCATTCATAAACAAGGTCGTTTGGTGGATTAACAAGCGTGTCTCCATTGTTTATGTGGGCTGGTTGTGTGTATTCATTGCTCTCGCTCGAGCTCCAGCGAGTCAAGAATCATAATACCTGACAACCGCACGAATCACCAGGCCCAGGACTCGACAAGCACGTCTAAGTGCCCATTTACGAAACCTCTACATCTTATCTCGATTGATTAAACGACTCGTGAACACTGAAGGGCTATATACGAGGTTGTTTGTCAAGAACGACCTCGCTCGTTTCCAAGCCCGTAAACTGCTTAATAAATACAGACTTACCCCCCCATGATCGAAAGAAAGATGTACAGGTTTCGCAACTGAACATATAAAGGCTCGATGACTCGCTTGTTACGACCCAATTGGCTCATGTCCAATGAGCCAATTGATCAACTACTTAGAAGTAGTAAGATCACCTACTTAGGTCTTACAATGCATTACTGAGTATACCGTGAATTCTTAACAACAAAAGTATTATATATAAAAAGTATTACATATAAAAATAAATAAGTTTTAGCTCATTTACGTACTAAATAATACTAAATAGGGAATAAGAAATAACGTTCTCCTTTTGATAATTACTTCTTAGGATTGAATATTTTTTAATATGCAGAAAATCTCAGTTATAATTACACTAAGTTACAGCAGCAGACCATGCAAGCCTCAAACTGTAGTCCGAAAAGTGCATTTGTTGTTATTGGATAAAACATTTTTCCTTTTGCTGGAGAGGATTGAGAGATGACAATTATATACATCCCTTTTCGCGACACTACATATTACAGTGTATACCATACAGCAACACTATATGTTACAGTCAATACCATACACCGACACCACACCGTACACAACACCCCCACAACACCCCACAACACCCCACAACACCCCACAACACCCCACAACACCCCCACAACACCCCACAACACCCCACAACACACCCACAACACCCCCACAACACCCCACAACTCACCCACAACACCCCACAACACCCCACAACACCCCACAACACCCCCACAACACCCCACAACACCCCACAACACCCCACAACACCCCCACAACACCTCACAACACCCCCACAACACCCCACAACACCCCACAACACCCCCACAACACCCCACAACACCCCACAACACCCCCACAACACCCCACAACACCCCACAACACCCCCACAACACCCCACAACACCCCCACAACACCCCACAGCACCCCACAGCACCCCACAACACCCCACAACACACCCACAACACACCCACAACACCCCACAACACCCCCACAACACCCCACAACACCCCCACAACACCCCACAGCACCCCACAGCACCCCACAACACCCCACAACACCCCACAACACCCCACAGCACCCCACAGCACCCCACAGGATGCACCAATGAAGGAAGTCTCGCAGAAGAACATCTCCGAGCGCTAATCGCTAGCGGGATCCCCAAGAGGAGAATATAATTAACGCAAGAGTTCGTTGACCAGCGGGTGGGACCCCCACTGTCACCTTACCTGAATATGATTACGTAAAAGTCACAATGTTTATATGACTTCCTCAGAATTTTCTTGGATTTTTATGGGATTTTGTTTCTCTCTCTCTCTCTCTCTCTCTCTCTCTCTCTCTCTCTCTCTCTCTCTCTCTCTCTCTATATATATATATATATATATATATATATATATACATATTATATATATATATATATATATATATATATCTATATATATATATATATATATATATCTCTCTCTCTATATATATATAGAGAGAGAGAGAGAGAAAGAGTTATATAAGGAAGGTACAGTGCGTTTGAAGATTAATCGCTACATCCTTGTCAAGCCAGTAACTCACATGCACCTGATTGTTTCAAGTGTAGGCTAAACAAATATATGAATGAGTTTTTGGTGGATATATATATAGTTGCTTCACGTAGGCCCATAGGCCTTCTGCAGTCTTATTTATTCTCGTGTTCTCATTTCGGACATATGACAAAATGCAGATATATTATATACACAGTTTCTTATACAACAGTAATTTTTGCGCTGTCGATTCACAGCCGATTGGTCCCGTGTGCGATTCCCGGGTAGAGCGGGACGTTTGGGCACAGTCCCTTACACCAGATGCCTCTGCTAAGCAACAAATACCTACCCGGGTGTTAGTCAATAAACCTAATTGGTTTACTGCCCAGCTTAATAAAACAACAAAACCTAGCGAGCCAGTATTATATCGTAGACGGGATTTTAAACCCCTAAACCAGCGATATATTAGTATACTCTGTTTTCTGGCGTATACCCTGGAAACACAAACCGAAACTGTCTCTATTTTCCGCTTGTTACAACTTGAAATAAAGTTGTTACATCTTGGCTTAACGTGTTTATGACGTATTAGAACGTTGTTACAACTTGCTATATTGGTTGTTATAACTGGTTAGGAGGTGTTAAAACTTGCTCGAACGTTGTACCAACGTCGTAGTTTCGGTGTGTGTTTGGCGGGTATACACACTGTTTATCATAGCCCTTAACAATTTCCATGACTATAGCATACTTAATATATGCTTAATATAGCATATTTAGTCAGGAATTGTAGTGGGATTAATCTCCCTCTCTCGATTGATACCCAACACTGAACCCAACAGCCCTAAAGAAATACATAATAGTATATACGTATTTACATGTTAATGGTATTCTTAAGTGGACGTTCACACCCACCTGAGAGTCAGTCTGGACAAGATGGTCTGCTTTCGTGGGCGGCGGCGCCTGAAAGAAGTCCAATATCCAGTGAAAAGATTGACGGTGTTTCCATATTCCTGAGGTGAGAGAGAGAGAGAGACAGAGAGAGAGAGAGAGAGAGAGAGAGAGAGAGAGAGAGAGAGAGAGAGAGAGAGAGAATTATACACGCATAAAAAGTGTGAGAAAATTATATAAATCTTTATAATGCGGTTAACGTCTCGTACAAGTTTATATATAAAACACAAAATTTATATTAAAAAGCAGTATGATATGTATCATTCGAATACAGAATTGACAAAGATATTATCAATACTTAAAAGAAGTATAAAAGCTAAAAAAGAGGTAAACTCTGACCTTAATGTTGACATTTAAGTCCACTTGCGTCAAAGCAATGATCTTCACCAAACACCTGAGTGTCACCTGGTAGCATCTCAGGTTCTCCTCACGAAGCTTTGACAAGAAGAGGTATATTGCACTCAAGTTACCTCCTGTAGGAAGCTCTGTCTTCCCTCTGCACCCACTCAGGCCTTCAAGGAGGTTAATATTGCCGCTCCGTATCTCCTGTCTAGAAGAAGCTGGATGGAGGAGGGGCGATGTTGTGACCCAGGTCTTGGGGTCCTCTGTGGCCCAGACCCTGTGTTCCTCTGACCCAGGAAAGGCTTTGTCTTGCAATGGCTTCTTAGCAACAGCTCCGGGAGGCACACAGTCGGTACTGAAGATCCCTGGGAAGTCGTCTTGGGTCTGACCCTCGGCTCTGGCGTGCTCAGACGACCCCTCCGTCGCGGGTCTGCCGATGTGGAATGCACAGAGATGCTTGAGGTCTTCAGAGATGTTGATAATGTCTTGAAAAGCGGCGTTCTCGCACGGACCTTTCTCCCTTGATGGCTGTGGAGGCGTAATATTTTCGCTGCAAAGCTGAGGCAAGTTGGTGAGCTTCGGAGGAGACGCTTGCGTGTATTTCTCCTGGTGTTTCTCGTACATCAAGTCCAGATCGCCTAGAATATTGTTGAGCTGTACCTGAAGATTTTTTTTTTCTTCACACTCTGTTTCGAATGTCATGTTATGTGGGTAAACCTTGGTTGGTATTAGTATCTCTGTACCATTAGTAGGAGCGCTCAAAGAAGCGTCACTTTCAATGCAACTAAATATCTCATCTATTTTTGTGTTAATATAATTTGCCTTAGATAATTCATTGGTTTCCCCTAAGACTGCACATTTTGTTTCTTCGTTTTCTTTTACGCAAGGGCTATGTCCGTTTTCTCTACTTTTCGATTTGTCTTCATAGACTATTCTATTAAGGGGAAGGAACAGACCACTGCGATCTCCAGCATTTGGCGTGATATCTAATTGCTTCTGAAACCTAGCGACGTTCTTCTGTAAATGCTGTACACCCATCGATGGACGACTTTTACGCTGGTTAGTTTCCGTATTCCGGTCACCACTGCCGTGCAAAAAGACCTTTGATACACTTGAGGTTTCTAATAATTTTTCTCCTTTAACTGTTTGTTTCCTTTCTTCGTCCTCAGTTCTAGATTTATGTTCGGTTCTTCCTTTTGATGACAGTTCCTCCGATTCCAACATCTCAGAAGTAAACTGTTCGCGTTCAAGACTTAAGCGATTGCAAAGTTTCTCGAGGTGTTCCAAGCAAGTCACTGTCGGAGGGGGAGATTGGCAGCGACTTCGAGTCCGTCTTCGAACTGGATTCTCTTCGATACCCAAAGGGGAAACCTCAGGATGAAGGATGTTCGTGTTCGCAAATGCCGTTTTCTGAACATCCGACTGAACACTCGAGGAACTATTCCTGACGGAAGTTTGGGAAAGGGATTGAACACTAAGGGGACTTTTCTTCATAAATGTGTCACTCTTATTAGGCTCGTTGCCAGGGAGATTATATTTGGAAACACCTAAACAATCGTCTTTAGTTACACTCGATTGATCGCCCTCAGTAACACCTTTGGAATTGCCTTTGGCAACATCAGGTTGATCGATTTTGGCAATACCTGTGAGGTCTTTATCGTCAACACCAGACTGATCGTATTTCGCAACATCTGGGATATCATTGTGGGAAACACAGGAGTAATCCTTTTGCATAACACTTGGGTGATTATTCTTAAGTCTACCCGAATGAACATTTTGAATAACAGTTGACTGGACGATGTGGAGAACACCTGGGTGATCATGCTGGCGAACACCCAAGACATCGTTTTTGATAACATCAGGGAGATTGCTTTTGATGGCGGCGTCGAAGCTTTCCTCCAGGTCCTTGAATGTTGCCAACCAGTCTCTTCTGACTCCATTTTTCCTTGTGAAGTGACAATCGCTGCTCTGCTGCATTTCCTGGGGCTTGCAGATTGTTTTCGTCACTCCATTCTCCGTCGTTCCCTTGCACGCTTGCATGCAGATCAAGACTTCCGTGGTAGGGGTCGGCCTTACTGAAGAATGCCCGCTCTCAGTCATGTTATCCATTTCCAGGAATTCCTTAGTATACGCTTCAGAGATGTCGTTCTTCATCTCGCTTACTTTTGGGGCTTGACTCACCTCCTTAGATGTGGTTATGCCTTCCGTGATGCAACTCACACTCTGGAAACTTACCCTGGAGCTGACTGCAGGTTTATGAGAGCTCATTGCATTCGCATGGATGTTCTTTGGAGATGCATGACTGTTCATTGTCGTCTCATTGCTGTTCTTTGAAGGATTATGGTTGTTCTGTGAAGACTCATGGCAGTTCATAGTCTCTGTGTGCTTCGCCTCAGCTTGGGTGGATGCTGTGGGCTTTATCTTATCATCCCAACCAATTAGAGAAGACTTTGATTGCACCGTCGCAGTTTTGCTGGTCTTTGCTGTTAGTGAACTTAATGTGGGATTCTTATCATCAGGTGAAGGGTGAAGAGATCTTGTCGCTTCTGTTTCGACTAGTTTCTGTTTCTGAACGGATGTAATCAAGCAGGAGAGCTCGTTATCCAGGTCTAACGCAGCATCACTAACATTTGGTGTGGCTGACAAAGTTTCCAGGGTGCTTGGCCACACATTGCAAGGTGTTGAAATGCCATTACAAATGTTGGGAGATTGACTCTTGACGCTTTGCAACTCTCTCAATCGAGAATCATTAACTTCCATCGAAATTAATGATCGATTTATTTTCTTGTTCGGATCTTCCTTGGGTTGTTGTTCCGAGGTCTTAGTGCCTCTCGATGCCGTCTTGGAGGCGTAGCTGTTAGTACTCTCCAGAAGCATCGTTGTCTCTCTCAGGTAAGCCTCGATTTCAGAGGTGAGACTCCGTAGTTTGTCTCCATCCTCCTCCTTACCGCTGGGACCTGGAAGCGAGGGCTCGGTCGACTGCTTCGAGACATCTCCGGTCTTGTGAGTCACGACAGGAGACTGCTGGATATTGTTTACCGGAAGGGTGTGAACATCAAGCCTTGGCGTCATCTTACAGTCGACAGCGTCTTGTTGAGGCATCTGTGCTTCGTTTGCTGGTTTGGTTTCATGTAGCGACTGTGTTTCTTGTAACGTTCTTGCTTCTTGTAACGTCCTGACGTCCTGTAACGATCTTGCGTCTTGTAACGATCTTCCTTCCTGTAATGTCATTGTTTCTTGCACTGAGCCCGGGATTGAAAGCCAGTCCTCTGAACTAGAAATACGATGAAGATTTTCGGGACTGCTTTTATATTTCCTTAAGCGGTACTCCTCTATGCTGTCCGGACTGTATTCTTCACTGCTAGAGAAATTCATCAGGTCGTCTCCATTGTTTATATCCGGATCATCACGCTTGTTGATTTCGGTCCCGACGACAGTGGACGACTCGTCATCACCTTCTTCTCCCAACATTTCAAGGATGACCTCCAGGGGCTCCTGGAAGCGAGAGAATTTGTCGCTAATAGACCGTCGGGAGCGAATTGGCCCCAATAGGTTCCTGCTCCAGTGCCCCGCTTCCATGTCCTCCGTTACATCGTCTACACAAGATTCTTCCTCGTCTTCAAAGTCATGTTCATTATATTCGAAATCGATCAAGTCTTCACAGTTTTCACCATCATTATCACCATCTTCATCTTCGTAGCCATCATTATCCTCATCTTCACCGCAGTATCTGAGGTTGCAGTAATCATTGTCAACTTCATCGTCATCGTCAACGAAGAACTCGTATTCCACTACTGTGCCTTCCTGGCTGTTGCTCTGCCCGAGATAAAAGTTAATAACACTTGTTTCGTCACTGTCGTCGCTTTCCTCGCGGCGCTGGCAGCTGTCAGTCTCCCCATCGCCACCCTCTCCGCTGGCGCCAGCAGCCTCCAGATGCCTGGGGGCGCTGCATCCGCCGCCTTGGGGCTCGTTGTTCAGGTAAACACAGCACACGGGACCCCTATCACATCTCTCACAGTAATTCAGACCGGCGGCGGCACAGCTTAGCTCAGCGTCCTCCTCTGGACCCACATCGTTGTCGCGAATTTCAGCGACACTTCCGCGAGCTGTCCGGACACTTGGGGCGTTGGAGGGAATTGTCTGAACGCTGCGCGCGGTTCTTTCACTCGGATTCGTCCGCGACTCATTTTCAGGAACGACCGAACGCTCGTGCACTCCAAGCACTCGTGTTCTCTCGCGAACTTGTTTCTTTGAATTAAACTTAAAACAATGCACTTCGTTGTTGTGGGAGTTGATGTTCTCTTTGTCTCTCATTGTGAGGTCCGCCCAAGCGACCACCTCCGTCATTTTCACTTCTCTGGTTCACAGAATATTAATTTCTTGATTTCATGATGACAGTCAAGTAATGCGCATCTGAAACATAACAATAAATAGAGTAATTAAAATAAGAACGAGATGCAGGTTTAGTTCATTGCACTTCCAAAGTTGTTGAGTTTATATATATATATATATATATATATATATATATATAAGGTTAAGAAATATGGACAGAAGGTTCGTTCCTAATACTTAAGGGTTTAAACTACGGTAGCAGTACCTTATTTACCACACGGGGAGAGAAGGCATTTCCTCCTCCTGTTAATGAGAACATTTTCCCACGTAGCGCCGGGAGAAGAAAACCCTCACGCAAACTTCACGTTGTATGGTGAAGATGAGCAGTGAACAAGTGGAATGAGTTGATACAGGAGGTAAATGAGGTTAATTCCATTCAGAGTTCATATGATAAGAAGCAAAGGGAAGGGGGAGGGGGTTGAGAGGCGTAGTAAAAGCAAACAGGTGGCCTCTAAGAGCTGAAGCTCGACCTTACAAGCACATGTATATCCACACGGCCATGAGGACAGCGTTCAGGATTCACCATGCATGGCTGACCATCCCACAGGATGCACCATGTACGCAAACTACTCGATTAGCTTTTGTTTTCTTTGTCAGCGACAGGAAGCCTGTTAAGACTTATCGAGGTCCCTCCCTCCACTAAGCTAACCACTGACTATCCCCCAGGATACAACCCACAACAATGTGCTAAGTCCCCGGTACCTAGTCACACCCACACAGACGTCGAGGTGTAAGGAAACATGGCCAAGCGTCTCCCTTGCCTTGTTAATGAGCCGACAGCACTCATCAGTGTAACAAGGTCACTCATACACTCTGAATGCAGGTCACTTGATCTTTCCCGAAACCCCAAGATTAGATTACTTGCAAGTATGCAGGTATACTCTCGCCTCTGGAATGGACAAGTGAATAAATATGATGAACAATTAACACGAATAAGAACAACAAAGGATGAAGAATTAGGTAACATGGCGTCGTGTTTATTATGGCGGAATGTTTTCGTAAATAAACATTTCGTCGTTGTGTACGGGTGGCTGCGTCTAAATGTTTACTGGGATGTTTCTATTTTATTTTCAAGGCTGCACAAGCCCAATCGCTTGTGTTGGCCTTTCTGCAGTATTTTACATATTTTCCCATAATTTTTATAAAGTATATTATTTTATATCTTCTAGTACACACTTCTAAATGTGAACAAGTCAATCGCACAGCGATTTAAAGTAACATTGGTTCGATGCTTAGCTTAATGCTGTTCAACATCTAGGAGGTTAATAAGGCCACCACAAGTGCCTACTGCCCAACCAGCAAGTCTTCATTAGTCCAGAACTGAAAAGTAAGCTCTCAGTGCTTCTTCATAATGTAGTGCAGGTATACTTTTTGGTATTTATTTTATAGTACTAAATTTTATGCTTATCGGTTGGATTATTTATATATTTAGCTGCACACCTTCAGCTTTTGATGTTTCAGAGCAATATGGGTATAACATCCTCAACACTAATGATGCTTCAGGGGAACATGGGTATAACCCCCCCCCCCACTCCACATCGCCACACTCTCAACCCAAGAGCAAATAAGATCCTTCTTGCTAACTACAACGCCAAGAATACGACCATTTTACACAAGCTATAATGGAAGACATTTTTATACGCACCGTCTCTTGTTCACCAATTCTCTCTCACACGCCAAATAGTCTCTCCAGTGTACACGTCTCCAGCATACATGATGAAGCCAAACACGTCATCTCCAGAAATATTCGTGAGCTTGACTGCCTCGCTAGACCAGTCTGTCCTCCGAGAGATGTTCCTTTCTCCTTTCCTTACTATTTTCTTATATTTTACGAGAGATGTTCCTTTCTCCTTTCCTATTTTCTTATATTTTACTATACATTTATCTGAATAAATATAAGGAGACTGCAGAAGGGCTATTGGCCTAGGGTGCACTTATTTATATCCACCCAAACTCTGATATATTTGTCTAGTCTATGCTTGAAATAATCCGTCGATCCAACTTCTATTATGCTATGCGGAAATTTATTCCATAAATCAGTCACAAAATTTCCAAACCAGTATTTACCCAGGTCTTTCCTGAATCTAAACTTATCAAATTTATATCAACTGTTACAAGTTCGATTGTGTATTTATATATTTAAAACCTCATATATATATATATATATATATATATATATATATATATATATATATATATATATATATATATATATATATATATATAATCTTCCTTTGATATACTCTTCGTCCGTCATGTCAATCTTCGTCATATAATGAGGATGCAGGTAATTCCTTCACTACATTAGTGTTGCTTGCAACCTAATTTGATTTAGCATGGTGCATGTTGCGTCAACTATCAGGCATTCTGTGAGGTATCTATGTCAAGGAATTATTGATTCAGGGAAAGACGGATATGTGTGTGTGTTTGGTAAGCACCAGGTCAAGGATTAATTTCTACACTACACAATGTGTCGCTCGGAAAATAAATGCTTTTTCATTTGAAAAATGTTTTGTCAGCAATAAAGAGTTATCTCTGGTTGGTGCTTAGGACTTTTGTTGGCAGGTCGTTTTTCTTGAACTCTTTGACTCACGTATTATGGAGTATTTTATAAACTTAAGATATTGTCTAATACTCACACACTGATACACACATGAGTCTATGCTCGATCCTGCAAGCACAAATTGGTGAGTACACACACACACATTACAAACTTATATATAAACATTATATATATAAACTGTTATATATAAACTGTTTAACACTGGTGGGACACGAACAAGGGGACACAGGTGGAAACTGAGTACCCAAATGAGCCACAGAGACATTAGAAATAACTTTTTCAGTGTCAGAGTAGTTAATTGATGGAATGCACTAGTCAGTGATGTGGTGGAGGCTGACTCCATACACAGTTTCAAGTGTAGATATGATAGAACCCAATAGGCTCAGGAACCTGTACACCAGTTGATTGACAGTTGAGAGGCGGGACCAAAGAGCCAGAGCTCAACCCCCGCAAGCACAACTAGGTGAGTACACTCACACACACGTGCACTGCGATTCCCTCTACATACCAACTCACCCTGGCCTCAGGTCGAGCTCTGGGAGGAGAAGAACTCCCAGAACCCGCTCCAGGTATGCAGCAGCCTGGTGATTTACTCACAGGTGAGGAGCGCATCTTCTCCAGTACCAAATGAGGCAACATATACAGCGGCCAGAACAACATATGGTACCAGACCTGCATACCATCGTATTCTCTAGGATTTAGCAGGTTGCACCTGTGTCATCCTGAGAGAGAGAGAGAGAGAGAGAGAGAGAGAGAGAGAGAGAGAGAGAGAGAGAGAGAGAGAGAGAGAGAGAGAGAGAGAGAGAGAGAGAGAGAGAGAGGTCTAATACAAAAAATCCTGACTTAGCATACACAAAGGCTGGTATCACTACACTGTGGTAGGAAGTCTTGTATTCAATGTGGCGACGAATGACCTGTTGACCTATCCAAGGTAAGAGAATTTTCCCCAAACAAAGCATAAATTGATCAGGAGTCATTGCAACATTTTAACACAGCCCATTATTGATCACATCTCAGACCCCCCCCCTCCCCTTCCACCCCTACCTTCATATATATCCAAGAAGTGGTTAGGTTAGGTTATGACTGGCTAGGTTAGGTTTGACTTGGTTAGGTTAGGTTTGACTAGGTTAGGTTAGGTTATGACTGGCTAGGTTAGGTTAGGTCTGACTAGGTTAGGTTGGGTTGGGTTATGTTGGGTTAGGTCAGGTTAGGTTAGGTCAGGTCAAGTCAGGTCAAATTTGGTTAGGTCAAGTCAGGTTACCTCCTGGGGTTATACAGAACACCTGGACCATCCATCGCTTTGTTCCAAGCCTTGCAACTAATTCAATATTTTGTGTCATTCACTCTTACCAGTTCCTTGTTTCTTGTGTGCTTTTGTCTTGGCTTCGTGAACATTAACACTTACGACTATTTTTACATGCAATTTTTTGAGTTTACCTCGATTAAACACACTGTGTGTGTGAGAGTGTGTATATGTGTGTGCGCGCCGAGTTTCAGTCATTTTCTTTTTTATCTCTCAATTGTTTATTTGATCCTTCTCTTGATAGGATGAAGCACTCGTGTGGGTGTTGGGGTGATTTTAATCTGTGAAAAACACACCTAAATTAATTAATCTCTCTCTCTCACTCTCTCTCTCTCTCTCTCTCTCTCTCTCTCTCTCTCTCTCTCTCTCTCTCTCTCTCTCTCTCTCTCTCTCTCTCTCTCTCTCTCTCTCTCTCAGAAATATGTGCGTTTCTCTTGTCTGGTTATCTGTTTATTTTCATCAATCTCTTCTAATCAAAACATCATCGAAGTCTTTGCGGAACACCATCTCTGACGATAGTGTTGCAACAGAGGCCCCTCGCTAGTGGTTGAGAAGCCTTTCAACAGTGCTCTTACTGTTGCCTGAGACAACGGCAGAGTTGTTGCTGCTTCCTGACACGCCGGCAGTGTTGTTGCTGTTGTCTGGGTCAACGGTAGAGTTGCTGTTGTTCCTTGAGGCAACGGTAGCGTTCTTGCTGTTGCCTGTGGCACATTATTGCAATGGAGTTTTGTATTGCCGAATTTTGTGGGCAAGAAATGGAAGATGAAACTAAACAAGACGGAGATGAAAAAGAAAACGCAGAATATAAAGGCGAAGCAAAGGGGAATAATATTGATAATAATTTGCAAAAATAGCGACGGGGCTTCGCGGGAGATTATGGAATGTGTGTTGTTAAATGTTGTTTGGCTTGAAGCCTCGGTTCACGAACTTCAACCAAAGGTGTCAGAGCAGCTCAACTCGGCCCTCGGCATCACACACACACACACACACACACACACACACACACACACACACACACACACACACACACACACACACATATTCAAATTATATTTCAAGAGTCAGAGAGAAAGACCTGGGGGTTTATATCACGCCAGAACTGTCCCCTGAAGCTCATATCAAGAGGATAACATCAGCGGCATATGCCAGGTTGGA